CTCATCTTGTCAGTAAATGAAAGCTATAAATCATCATCAAGCTATAAAATCCAAAATTAGAACAAATCATGAGACATAAGCAAGTAGTGAACACATCTTCATGTCAGTAATCAACTAAAAACAAAGACTTTGAAATTTCTCAAACCTAAACAAATAACTTTTAATACTTAGATTCCTTTACAGCAGACCAGTATAAACAAATGTCATCTTCATCTATTATTCATAGAAGCTACACTTTTTGCAATGCTCCAATATAAAACTATACATTAGAACTTTAGCTTTTATATTTAGTGACTGCAACTCCTTTAGTATAGATAGCACATCCATACTTGAAAAAAAAACTCATCAATCAAAACCATATAGTTGTTTCTAGAAACAATAAAGTATAACACTTACACTCTTTTCTTCCATAAAATTCAAAAAGGTCGAGACTTAAACGATAACATTGCTGAAATTTGGTTCTTGACGTTCATGTTATTTGCTTTATCTAATCCCTAATTTTTTTTCGTACCGATTAGAACGGAGAAAACAACTAAGAATCTAACTTGCCATAGGTTTTACCCTTCCTACAGGCAGAGATGATGGTTTTTGCGAGGACTGAGTTTGGGAAATCTGACGGCAAGATTTCATTGATCACTTTGTTGTTGCCGGCGAAGAATACAGCATACATATTCGATATGTTAAAATTAATTTAAGTATATTGGTAGGGATAGATATTAAGTAGAAAAGGTTTAATTTAAGTATATCGAATAATCATTTAATATAAGTATAGAAGCGGGTCTTTATTAAGTGATAACTTAGTGAATAAGTGCAAAACAAAATATGCCATGGTAAATTTTAAATAGGAGTCGATTTTAATAAAGTAAACTAGATTTTGATCCGCGCTTTCAAAACGCGGATTTATGTTTCATGCAAACTTTATATAATCGCAGTTTATATATATGTAGAATGTGAGATATACTTGTTTAGTTTATTAATTTCATCACACATGGTATTTTTAAAAATGCAAGATAATCTTTTAGTGAAAATTTTATATGACCATATTTTTGTTTTATATAAAGTAGACGTGTGCATAAAATCCATAACTCGATATCTAAACTCAATCTAAACAAAAACATTTGGATCCGTAATGGTCAAAAATCTAAAATATAACAGAATGAGTTTTGTAGAGTGATACAAATATATCCGAATCAAAGTGTTATTGGCCAGACCCGAAAGAATAACCAAAAAAACATAAAATCTAGAAAAAATCTGAATCAATCTGAATGTCCAAATTAATCATAAATATAAATATCTGAAACATAAATATCTAGTTTAAATATTCAGTTCTATATTTATTTTAAAATGATATTTAAAATTAATTATCTAAATTTTAAATAAGTACCTTAATATTTAATTCTATAAAAATAAGTAGTTTTTTTGTTTTGGTTTTAGATTTTAGATTTCCAAACCAATATATCCCGAATCCGAACGATATATGGTTACTTTATCGGTTTTAGGATGTGTATAAATTAGAACCAAACCCAACATGTTATATTTGAATCTGATCCATATATATTTACAAACATGCACACTTACAAATTATAACATCCATGATGTGATATAAATTAGCTTTGATTTAAAATATCCGACCCATATTTCCAATTGGTACTTGAAATCCCAAGCATAACTTAAATTATGTTTTATATTTGTTATATTAATTTTATTTTTGTTAAATACTTTTTCTGTTTGGAACAACCCGTAAAGTTATAATCATAAAAATATCAATAATAACATGTTTCGTCATATAAATGAATATTAATAGTAGCGATTATTAATATTTATTTTATAAAATACATATATATATATATATATGATAATTATATTTTTATGTATTGGCGGAGGTTTGAGGAATTTTTTTATTATTATTTTGTGTATCAATTACATATAATTAAATGTTAATTTTTTTATATCCTAATGTTTTAATTTAGATATTATATTAAAATATAAAATTATTTAATTTTTTTGATATCTTGTGGTATTATTTTGTTATTTTGTAAATGTAATTCATCTAGTTTATAATTTATAAAGTTGATTAATTTATATTATAATTATTATTTTGTGTAATTTTTAGTTACAAATATGAAATATTTTTATATAAATGTTATAGAAAGTTAGTTTTTATTCTATAAATCAAAATGAGTTAATACTCATTTATAATAAAAATAGATAAAAGATATTGTTAAAATATAATCTGAAAAAGTAGTTAAGAGTATCTTTTTGAATATATTTAAATATTATATTAATAGTATATTGTTATTTAATAATAATTTAGTTTGTTATATGTAACATAACACAAAATTAAATAAATGTAAAGTTTGGAGGTAGACTACTTGTAAGTAGATAAAAATTGCTTCTGTTTTAATAGTATTGATGGTCTGGGAGAAGTTAATTGTTGTCCAATATTACTAGAGACACACCAGCAAACTTTTTTTGTACGGTCTATTAAATATATTAACATGTAATTAAATTGGTGTATTCTAATTAGTTAAAACGTTTAACTGTAAGAGATATTAAGGTGAGTAACATAGTCAAATTTTGTTTCTATACTGGTACGTTGTTTTACTGCAGCTAACTAAACATATAGCAGCTAAAAATACCTAATTTGTAACATCTAAAATACCACAAATACAGCAGATAACTTATATGTTTTAGTTAACTACGACTATTTGATGGTTTCTAATAACATGAAACAAGTCAACAACAATGCATATCTAGAACGGTTAACTCAAATGTTATGGCTTATCAAGTCCAAACAGTGATTTCTAACTATAACAACCAAAATAGAAATACATGTGAGGTTGAAGTGCTGTCACCATGAAATTCAGCAGTTTTCTTAGAAATATATCCCAAATAAACCTTTCCGTTTTTCACACTTGGAAATAGTAACTCCCAATAAGACAAACCCAGATTAATTATGTCTTTTCTTCACTCATCATTCGGCATACGTTGAGATAGCTGGGTAAAGTGGTGACATAGCTAGAGTTAAGAAGATAAATGAATATCTGAATGTGAAGAATATTCTCCTAACTATGATGAAGACTAGAGGTATAGGTGCAAATCATCTCAAATGAAATAAACGTAGAGACAGTACAACCCAATAACTATATTATATCTATTTTATTTAACGACGCAAAAATATATATATTAATCAATCAAATTCCTTATCATTGAATAAAATGAATTGAAGTTGCAATGCAACTAAAAAGCATCTAAATAACATTTGATATCACACTCCCCCACATGGAAGGCAACACTTTTTCCCAATCTGGATGAAGAACCGCTGTAAAAGGTCTGGTTGATCATCTTCATCCTTTTTTTCAGGCGAGGACTCGAGCAGTGGTAACTCCGGTGGCAAATGCCTATGGAATGCATCAACTGCTGCAGCTACACCATCCTCGTTCTCCAATACTTTCGCTAGCTCCATCACTCGTGATTTCACCTGAAATACAAGGATGTGTTCTTTGATACCGTTTCTTTCTAGTATTAATATGTATAGGATAAGGTTATAAGACAAAAAGAAAAATTTTTGAGCTTTCTTTATTTGCGCAAAGCTTTAACGTATTGGGTTTTGTTTCGTTCCTCTGGTGTTGCAATAAAGAGGGCATTCTTTACTCTTAACAATCCTACATAGGTATGAAAGTATAAGGAAAATTTGGGAAATCATGTTTACCTCTGGTTGAAGCATAAATATTATGGAGTTACAGAGGTTCTCAACACTGAGCTGAGCTATCGGAATTGGCGCAGGCCCAAGTCCCTTCTCATAGATCCTCTCACCCCAGAAGAATTGATCCCCAAAGAACGGCACAATCGTTGTTGGACACTGCAGTCATAAACGAAATATTCAAAAGCATATAGGCAGCGTTAAACTTCATGTAGTAATCAAACTGCTATAGATTTCACCTATGTAAACTCACCCAATTTAAAGTCAGAACCCGTTTAGATCCATTTAGTGTTAGGGTTTATTAGGGTTACCCACTTAGACATATTTAAAGTCAAACGTGATTGAAAAAAAAAATATATATATATATATATTATTTCCACAACAGGGCAATTTGGTGATGGTATGAGAGTAAAAATGTTTTACCCCAGCTTTTAGTCCAGTGGCTGTGGTTCCAGCACCGCCGTGATGAATCTTCATATCCACAACACGAGAAACAGCCTCATTTATAACATAATATCTTCGGAGAGACGAAGGTGGATAGTACATAAGAAATCGAAAGATTACCACAGCTGAACATTGAGGAAACAACCAATCGTGAGGACAGTCCTCCAAGAGGAATACATTTTCAGGAACTTCAGCAACTGCAAGATAGAAGATGAAATGAATCAAGAAAAACCAGAAGAAAACCACAACTAGCGTCAAAAGAGATGATACAGGAGCTGCTTACGGTTTCCAAGGCCACCCCAACCTCGATCAACTATCCCTCTTTGTTCTGTATCTCTCAGTGTTTCCAGTATAATGTCCATTGTCTTTTTGGGATCATCAAGAGGCTGTTAAGGAGAAGTAATAACAAAGTAACAATACTGTGAGATGAAACTAGTGCATCACCAGTTAAGCAAGGGGGTCAGGGAACATAAATGGTTGAAATAAATATATCGATAAGATACAATTATCTTCCTGACATTCAACTGACACAAATCAAACTTGATTTGGTTTTTATTTGTTTATTTGCAAGATCCATTGTCAACACCTAGCTATGCACTATACTGAATATTACCAACAAAAATGGGCTTACCATGCTTCCAAAACCAATATATATGGGTGGTGATCCTCTTTCTATCCAGTTGATAAACTCCTTCTGTGGTTGGTACTTCGATCCAAGGTTCATGAAACAATACCCAACAACGTCTACTAAAGGACCCCAGTCTGCAAGTTAGTCGAACAAAAGCAAAATCTTTCAGATATTTGTCAAGGAAAAGATAATGAGCTCAATTCAAAAGGGTACGCATCAAAAAATAGATAAATTATTATGGTCTTGCCAACGCTAGAAGAACATGATGTTGAGACCGGAATGATGCTACAATACATAATGGAGCTAGGACACATGATAAACTTCAGTGCAATACATGTATTGGGATGCAGCTATGCTCTTACCACTTGGTTTTGGCACAACATGGGGACTCCACATGTAAGCAGTAGGCAAGTGAGAAATTGAGCCATGGTATGTACTGAAGTAAGCGATAGGTGCAAGGTTTAGCTTCCTCTTCCTAAAATCATTTATGTAAGTCCTTATGCTCCACCATACCATCAGATCAACAACTATATATGACAACTGAAAAAAGGAAAGGTTATGAAAGAATAAGCTTCATAATAACAACGTATCAAGATCATTAAAAGAACAAGTTAAGTCTCCTTTAAAATACCCAATACGCAGCACTTTGAGGAACACGGGCCAAAGGGTGGGGAAATTCATGGGTTGGCCTGCCTACAGGAAGAGGTTGTAAGAAACCAGGACAACATATAACACGGACTTTAAGATGAAAACTACAGAAGTCAACTCACGTCCAAGGCATTGTGAAAAAAATATGTATTGGTACTCCAAGTGCTTCAGCAACATGCACATGTCCTGCAATTAAAGCCAAAAACCACATCATTAGCTTCACATGAGAAATGAAAACAACCTAGTAAATATACTTAAGAAAAGCTTAGAAACAATGAGGTGTTGATGAATCAAAATTTTTACCATATGCAGGAGGGTTTGCAATTATTGCTTGAGCTCTGAAAGAGGCAAATGTTTGCATATCTGGCTCTGTGCATGCCGGAAGAAGAGACTCTATGATTGCCTTCAGCTGTTTTCTCTGCTTTGCTATTTCTCCAGGCCCAGAAGGAATAAGACCTTTATTTCTCGCCATATCTACATTCAAAAACAGCCGTAACAGTGATTTCGGAAAGCTTACCTGTGTTAGCATTAGGCTCTCATACTCATTAAGAAACTAAAATATAAAAGGATCTTTTCATCGAGGACTTCTTACACCCAGCTAATTCTCGGGGATCACCACCCAAGGGATAGAACTCTACTCCAGCAGACCGTACAAAAGAGGAGAAATTTGCATGAGTTGCCAACCTAACACGATGACCAAATTCCTGCGACGAAGAAAAAAAACATCTAACTTAAACTTTTCTCAATGCCAATTGGTATCTAACTTAAACTTTTCTCAATGCCAATAACCAATCGGTTCAAAATCTCTCACTAAAATGATACGAAGTCTTAAGGGATCCCTAGCTCTAGAGAAAAAATGAGTCAAGAACATATACGAGGATAAATGAAGAAATTAAACTAATTTAACAGATTCGAAGATATGAGACATGCATCCACCTGAATTACATATTTGTTCTCAAAATATTTATCTCCATAAATCTTAATTCCACGGTCTGACATAAGGAATGAGAAATTTATTCTGAGATCACCTGGAGGCGCTTTGCAATGGAGAGAAAAGGCTGCACATCGCCTCGAGTTCCCACCACAAGTATTACAATTTTTAACCTTGGAATGGATCTGAAGGATTCCGCTAAGGACTTTTCATATGTGATTGTGGACTGCCCTTTGATTGACTGAAACTCCAATAACTCCGATACTGGAGTTCCTCTATTTATATCAACTTCCACTGTCCCGTCATTTTGTATTCTGACTAGCTCCACAATGAGTTTTTGCTGGAACAACAAGGAACATAATCATGATGTCAACCTAAACAAAAAAAAAGAAGAGAGAAATTCTGGCGGACGTTGTAATAACCGGTTACAAAAGCATATGGATAGAATGTTGATAATCTAGAGAAATTAGGGATATAGTTTCTTACCTTTTCATGCTCCGATAATCTATCTAATTTCGAATTATGACTCACAGGTGAGCCTTTCTCAGTCAAAGACCGAGAGTACTTAATCTCATTGTCATCAATTAGCTTATCTCCGTAGAGACCAACAGGTGCATTCTTGCAGTGGTCCAGTCCTTGAAGAACATACAATCGTGATCAGTTGTCAGAATCAGACAAAAGCAAAAAAATGGACAAAGATAGTTAAAAGCTCTAAAGTTTATAAAATATTGATGTTAGTAACACAAGATTTGATCAGAGGACTAACCCCTAGGCCGATCAGAAGAACCACCAGGATCATCTTTAGGTGCACTCTTCTCTACAGAACCAGACGTTTCCAATAAACTTGCTTTCTCGCTATCGTCCTCATCATTATCCTTCCAAGAACTGATCCCATCGTTTAATTCTTGCAATGGATGAGTAGCTACATTATTCGCCATCAATTAAACAGTTCTCACTTCTCAGTACCTACAAAGATGAGCTTCTTAAGCAATTATACAGAGATTCACACTATTAGAGACATTTATTCGATGCAAACAGCGAACCAACCACTCAATCCTCAGCGAAAGTTAGCTGCACCTCACACAAAGCACAACTGACAAGGAAATAAATAAATAATAATGAATTAAAAAGAAAATCGAAACTTTGCGTTTTTATCTTTATCTTAACCATCAAAAAGCCAGGAACAAAGAGTCTAGATTTCACGTTAAGGGAGAGGCCGCAAATAAAAAGGATCCATCTTTAACTTTAAAACGATTCCAGAATTAATCAAACAAACAGATTGAGAGAAGAAGGAGATTTCGCGGTGAAATACCCAAATGATTGATGATCGAAAAAGATTGTGGCTGACCTGAGTGGAAGCGCAAGAGATAGAAATGTATCTCTCTCTCTCTCTCTATGTAAGATTCTGATATTGGGGAAAATAATTTTCGTGATTTCCGAGGGGTTGGGAGACTTCTGAACCAACGAACAGATATTTGCATAAATAAAATAAATATCAATCATTTCATTACGCGATGCCACCGAAACAAAACCAGTTCATTATGGACTTATGTAAATTCCGATACAGTGAGATGCTTGGGGGGGGGGGGGGGGGGGGGGGGGGAGTAAGCTTTTTGGATTAGTGGTTCCAAAAAACATTTTTTTTGGCAAAACCACATTTAATAAATGGCTTACTAGGTGATAATCAGCACCACAAAATAATCAAAATTGTTTGTTACTTTTAAATGACTATGAAAAATTATTACTTTTAATCTAATACTAGATCTTGACCCGCGCACCGGCGCGGGTTTAACTTAATTTGGAAAAGCATAATATATTCATAAGTCATCGGTTCTTACCGTATTTCAAAAACTATGATCGTATTGAATGTAATATGACTGGGGTTTGATTTTGGGTTCAACTTTTGTTGGATTTTTTATGTTCGTAGTTTTTTTAATTCTACAATATAAGATCTGTTCTGTTATCTATATAAATTGATTTGCGTCCGGTTCGATTCTTTTGGTTTGAGCTGAGTTTGGTAATAATTATAATAACCGACTAATATCAGATAAATTTTTGGTTCCAATATGATAACGGTTTGGTTACGATTTCTATGATTAATTTTAGATTAATCGGGGTAAAACTGATTTTGGGGGGGGGATAGGTGTTTCGGATAAATATCCAGTTACGAAAACAAAATTTTAATATTTTAGTTAAAACTATTCAAATATTTTGTGTCTTTATGATAATTTGAATAATGTAAAATACTTTAGATAAAATATATTTGAGTATTAAATTATTTGAAATGTAAATTNATCGGGGTAAAACTGATTTTGGGGGGGGGATAGGTGTTTCGGATAAATATCCAGTTACGAAAACAAAATTTTAATATTTTAGTTAAAACTATTCAAATATTTTGTGTCTTTATGATAATTTGAATAATGTAAAATACTTTAGATAAAATATATTTGAGTATTAAATTATTTGAAATGTAAATTGTTATTATCTTAAAAATTGATGTTATTTTTAATTTAGTCAACAATAAATAAAATTGAATATGGTCTTTATATAAAATATAAACTAAAAACACAAATTACTACAATGGGCCAAATGATTTAAGCCAACCATAACATAAAATAAATTAAACAAAAGCCCAATTCTATTATAACAATGTTTAAAAGCCCAACTCCTTTAAACTTATAGCCAAACAACATTAAACTATTTATTACTACTATTTAAGTTTCCAAACAAACCTAAAGAGTACTACAACTTTAATAAGATAGATATTATCTTAAAAATTGATGTTATTTTTAATTTAGTCAACAATAAATAAAATTGAATATGGTCTTTATATAAAATATAAACTAAAAACACAAATTACTACAATGGGCCAAATGATTTAAGCCAACCATAACATAAAATAAATTAAACAAAAGCCAAATTCTATTATAACAATGTTTAAAAGCCCAACTCCTTTAAACTTATAGCCAAACAACATTAAACTCTTTATTACTACTATTTAAGTTTCCAAACAAACCTAAAGAGTACTACAACTTTAATAAGATAGATGCTAGAAAGTTAAAAGTTATTATCACAAATATTAGATATAATAAAATATAAAACAAAATTATACATGTATATATAATGTAAGTTATTGTCACAGATATTATATAAATTTAGTATGAATTTAAGATAAAACAAAATATAGGCAATAGAATTATAGCTTTTATAATAAAAATTTTGGATTATAATATTAAAAGAAATATAGGTAATAAAAAGTAAAATACGAAAGAAACATATATAAAGAAACTAATAAAAAACTGCTAAAACCAAAAATGATGTGAAAAAAGTCTTCAGAACTTCTAGTTTGCAATCTTATAGAGAGAAAATAACAAAGAATAAGTTTACCAAAATAAACATATACTTATTTACCAAATTTACTTAACGAAATGATATACCTCTTTCTGTAAATATCAATTTCTGAAACATCGTTGGGTTCCAAAAAAAATTTCAAAAACCCATCAATGTTAGTCAATTTCTTCAATCGACCTTATTATTATAAAAAAAAAACAATGTCAGCAAAATATTAAGGAGATATCAGCTCCAACACTTTTTATTTAAAATTAGCATAATACATTACTTATTCCCCAATTAATTTTCCAAAATTGTTAAACATAGTACAACATTTGTATCCAAGCATATTACATTTAACATAGCTAAAGTTGTAGAAACTCACATTAGAATCAATGATAATGTTTTGGTAATGATGATTTGAGAAACATATTCTGGGGAGGAGATGTGCTTTCAGTACCATATTTATATACCTCTTGGAAGAAGTTTAGGGTTAATCGGCTTTGTGAAATCGCCATAACTAATTTTGTTTCACTGATTAATATTACATAACTTGCTCCAATTTTTCAGCTAAAATTTGCCTTAACTATCGAATGCTAATAAATCAAGGCAAACAAAATTCAATTCCCAATCTACCTTTCTTTTTATATGAAACCTAATTGACGAAAATTACTTGATACGCTTAAAAACATCAATAAATGAAGATTATGAATTGATTCAAAAATTGATACCACAAATTTAACCCAAAATTGTGAATTGATGTTCCAGTTCTACACACGTTTTGTAATATAAGGAAACGAAGATTGCGAATTGATTCACAAAATCAATCAAACACTAATCAATCAAAAATTTTGACTCCACAAAACAATCAATTGTTGTTTACGGCCACATGTAAACATATTATGATATAGTTTCATGTGTAATATAGAAAATATATATATAAACGTAGATACAGATTTTTGAAGGCAACGTTTTGAGCAAACAACAAATACATTTCTTGTTTGAACATACAAACATTTATTTTAATAACGAAATCATATTCTAAAAATTTTGACTCCACAAAATAATCAAAATTTTTTGTTTGTTCTCTAATAATGCTGATTCCACAAGAATATTATATCAAGGATGTTTATGTTTGTTCGCTAATAATGTTGCAGTAAAATAAAGGAATCGAAACACATTCTTTTTGTTATTTTGTTCAACACGGAACCTAATCGTGAGGTCCCAAATTAATATGCTTGGAATGTATGTTACAACCAAAAATATATATATTGTAAACACAAATATAAAAAAACCATATGGGATGTATGCCGTTTTATTACAGTAACGAAAACATATTCTAAAATTTTTGACTCCACAAAACAATCAAAATTATTTTATCTGTTCTCTAATAATGTTGACTCCACAAAAATATTATAACAAAGACTTTTATGTTCATTCTCTAATAATGTTGCAGTAAACAGAAAACAAAACACATTATTCTTTGTTATTTTGTTCATCACATTACCTAAGTAATCGTGAGGTCCCAAATTAATATGCTTGGATCGTATGTGAGTAATATATAAAAAAAAAATTATATTCTAAACACAAATATAAAAAAACCTTGTAAATAGAAAGAATTTATAATATACTTTTTATCATAATCTGTAGACTGATGTATATGTAATTAGAAAACATTTAGTTTTGTTATCTAATAATTAGGAAGCGTATCGTATATTATGTGAAGCTACAATTTAATGACCAATGGCAACATATGTAATTAGTCTAGTAAGAAGAGAGTTTTTAATAAATGGGTGTGAGAATGATTATGGTATTGCCACATAGGAAATGACAATTTGGTTAATTACACATGAAGTCAAGATTAGTTCTTAATAATGCTCTTCAAATAATATAAAGGGGATTTGCCAAATAGTCACACAAAAAAATTAGATTTTTAGGAGAGAGATAGGAAGAGACAATAAGAAAAAGGGGAATTTTCAAAACCACATTTATTTATTAAATATAATATTTATTGAAGTTATAATCAGTACTATATTTTTTTTGGAACACATTTCAGTACTATATTAAAAGAAGAATACCAGCACCAGGGAGGAAATCCATGTCAGATGAAATAATCCACCAATCATATTTAGACACGTCATTTGTTTTGTCAGACAACTTTTTTCTTTTCGTATCTCTTGCCGTCTTCGAAAAACAAATCTTGCCGTCTTTGAAAAACAAAGCGTCACCCTCAGTTACAGATCTTCTTCGGAATCACCCATTATTACCATCTACCATTTAGGAACAATAATGTATCGAACCCTCTTCAACTTCTCCCCTCTCTCCAACCTAACTTTATCAACGGATGTTGAGACTGATTTTATCTTTTACTGGTCAGGAATTGGCTTGGATCATAAGTGGGGAAGAGCGAGAGAGAAGTTAGATCTCAGTAATCGTCAGTGTTTTGTTAGATGATGCCATTGAGGATGAAGATCCAGCCAATCAGTATCAATTCACCTATACTCGATCTGCGGCAACATGCTGTCTAAGTTTTGAGTAAGCTTATATCAGTCTCATCCGGGTATATGTACATATGTTATTTGCTTAGCCAGCTAACATTCCTGAAGATTGTTGGCCAAAACTCAGATATCAATCCATTTGACATTTTTTTATCAGCTTTTGATTGGCAAAAGTGCCTCTTTGACTGCCGTATACTCTAACTGGTTAGATCTTAATATGATCACGAAATCTCTGAGATCTGATTTTATCTTTGTTTGTTTGTGGATTTCAAAGAAAGGGGTTGGCGATGAAATGATTTCTAACTCCATGTCGTGCCCTTGGATTGTTTGTTTGAAACTAAAATGGAACCTAGCTCCTGATGGCAGTGTATCAATTCTTCTCTGGAACTAAGTACCGATCATCTACCCATCACATGACTTTCAAAGCTACCATTAAGTGATTGTGCATGATATGGTTGTGTAGGTTATTAGCACCGAGTAGGGAGATTTCAGATCTTGTCATCTTCCTCTAACTGATTTTGATGCTGCTCTTGACGCCGAAAGCTTGAATCCTGGAAGCCGTGTAAGAAAACTTATTGATTAGTTCTCACTTTGAGAAATTTATGTTTTGTGTTTTTTTTTTTTGAGAACTTTGGTTATGCTTCTTCAAGGTATTTGAGAAAATGGTGTCTGGAGGATACTTAGGGTAGATAGTGAGAAGAGTGTTACTAACAATGTCTGAAGACTGTGCTCTATTTGGAGATATACTGCCTCCAATACTTAAATTTCCTTACATTTTAGGGAACCTACTATACTTTCCGAGCCTCTTTATTAAAAACTATAGATTATAATAATCCTTTTGACACAATGCAATATTTTTCCCACGTGTTCAGGTCACCGGATATGGCTGCGATGCATCAAGATATCTCTGAAGACCGGGAGATCGTAAACAAAAGGAAAAATGTTAGCCAGCTACACGAAGTATCACCCATCACATGCCTAACCATGCCAAGTTTAATAATATATGGCCAGCTACACCAAGTATATGTTATGCATGCCAACATCCCCGAACTATATGATGTTATGTAATCAACATCATTATCTTAATTAAAGTCGAGCGTGAGTGACATGTGGATGTCCCGACCATAAACGTTGTTAACTCTCTGGTTTAATTCTTCGGTTTAGGCAAATTTAAACCAGAATGGAAACCAGATAATATGACCAGACCAAATAAAATTGGGCCATTATTTTTAATTCGGCCCAAATGCAATCCTGTCTTCTCTCCTTCTTTTTCATCAGAAAGAAAATTTAGGGTTTAAAATTTTCACAAATCAGTGGGAGAAAGGAAGTTGGTGTTTACTTCATATTTTAACAAATCGAGAAAGATGAGTAGAGCAACTCTTAATTCTCAGACTTCTTTGGTGTCAAAAATGTCTGAGAGAAAGATCGTCTTTGGAATACTTTGGGTTAAGCTCCCATATGAAAACATTGAAGATATTAAGCCTCTGTGGAAAAATATAGATAAAAATAAGAAGAGATTGGAAACAACAGGTCGATGGTATAAGGAGGTGCACATATGTATTGAAAAAGATGGTTGTGAGAATTCAGAGTTTCTCTATTCTTCTTTCTCGATTTGTTAAAATATGTAGCAAATACCAAGTTCCTTTCTCCCACTGATTTGTGAAAATTTAAAACCTGAAATTTCCTGTCTTCGTTTCAAAATGAAAAAGAAGGGGAGGAGATAGGATTGACTTTGGGTCCAATTTTATTTGGTCTGGTCTTATTGTCTGGTTTCCATTCTGGTTTAAATTTGCCTAAACCGAAGAGTTAAACCAGAGAGTTAACAACGTTTATGGTCGGGGCGTCCACATGTCACTCATGCTCGACTTTAATTAAACTAATGATGTTGATTACATAACATCATATAGTTCGGGGATGTTAGCATGCATAACATATACTTGGTGTAGCTGGCAATAAATTATTAAACTTGGCATGGTTAGCCATGTGATGGGTGATACTTCGTGTAGCTAGCCAACATTTTTCCTAAACAAAAAGCTCAAGGAAGTTTTTGGAGTAAGTATCATAAGACACTCTTGCATTTCAAGTTTTTTTTTTGCGTTTGTGTCTATATTTAAAACGTAACAAGAATTGGCTTTTATGTTTAATCAAGTTCTTTTTGAAATTTGTAATGTTATAATGTGTAAACTATTTAAATTAATGCCAAGAACTAGGACACTAACGTAGATGATTGTATTTTATTTTTGCTTAAAACGATTGTGTTGAAAAACAAGCAAACCGTTAATATGTTTGTGTGAACTAATTATATATGTATATAACATGTAGATCATGGACTCAACTCTTGCGTCGAGAGAAATGGTGGTTGAAATGTGCGATGTGGTGGCGGAAAGAGCAGCACGCGTGGCAGGAGCAGGAATAGTTGAGATGATAAAGAAGCTGGGAAGGTTAGAGAAGAAGATGAGAATTGTGATAGTTGAAGGAGGATTGTATGATCATTACAGAGTCTTTAGAAACTATCTTCATAGTAGTGTTTTGGAAATGCTCGGCGACGAGTTTCCAGATCATGTCGTCACTGAACATGCTCACGGTGGATCGGGTGCCGGAGCTCTTTTCTTTGTCGCTTGCTGTAATGCTAAAATCTAGATGTGAAAAAGACAACTACAGCTAATATTTTGTTATTCAAAACCATAATTCTGTTTAACGTTGTCTTCTAATTATTATTCTTTTTGATATCTGTTTTATTTATTTGTAGAGAAGAAAATTAACTGCAGAAGATTCGACCAAATTAAATTGCAGAGCGAGTTCAGTACGTTCGAGTTCAGTGTCTCTCTTGTGGCTACTGGGATTTATGCTGTGAATGTGAAATGGAGGGAAATGAAGGAGCGAGAATCAATGTGTCCCCAAGCTTTTCCAGTCAAGCATCCAGTTGATCTCTCATCTATCTCCTTCATGCACAAACACGATTTCAAGATGTCAGTCAAAGACCAATACTTTCTTTTGATCTCAGCTATCACCATGACCATAACCTTAGGCAAGTGCAATACCCTTTGGTTCAATCAAGACAAAGAACATCTCCACTGGATCTTCATTTATTACCAATAACTTAGATGTTCACAGTTTGAAGATGCTAGCTCTATTCAAGAAACTCTAAGTCCAGAGTCGTTTGTTCTTCAAAGAAACCATGACTTGGTATCAAGACAACTTAACATGTGGATGCGCTAAGGTATACTGAAAGAAGCAGCTTCCAGTTTCATGACTTATGTCATCATCGTGTGGAAGAACGGTTCCATGAATGCTCACGCCACTTCAGTGGAGTTCCGCTTGTTATTTTTATAACAGGAAAACACAGAGTATGCTAACACGGACTAGCTTTCCTCATCGGTACTGTGGAGAATCACAAGAAAGACGCCATCTGCTTCGTTAAGACTTTCTGCTTCAAGATAGGGAACTCTCTAAACGTTTAAGTAAATCAATATGGAAAACTTCCAGGTGACTGATAGTCAAAGAACTTCCCATAATAACTTTGATGGAAACAAGCAAGGACGACAAATAGATTGGTTAGTACATAAAAATGGTTTCAACATATACATTTATTTATATACAAGACTTACATATGAAAAACAAAATACCTTTTTTTTAAAACACAACAAAACACTTTTCTAAATACACTTTTTGGTTATTCAATCAATCTTGCAGTTTATCGATACCAAAAGGTTAGAAAGTTTTGACATGGTTTAGTAACGCCCACATGGACCTTGAAGACTACCCTGATTCAAGAAAATTTGATCCTTCATATGGGATACAAACTATTAGATTTCCCATCTTGAGTTGTTTGTTCCAAAAAATGTTTGTTTGTAGCAAGAATGAACACACTATGGTTGTGTTTTTTCAGACTGTCTTCGTACCAAAAAGCTGACACCCCCGTACTTTTGGTGCTGGAAGCCCATGAAATGATCTCCCTAAGCTCGAGCACGACCCAGGGACGTGCACTACAAGAAAACACGGCGATTCTGACGGAAAAATTCGTCAGAATGTCGTCGGAATATAGGTATTCCGAGGATATACCGACGAAACCGGTCGTCGGAAAATTTTCGTCGGAAATTCCAGTTTCCTTGGAATTTCCTCGGAAAATTCTGAGGAAATACCGAGAACCACAATTCTGAGGACATTCCGACAAACAGTTTCGTCAGACTTTTCCTCGGAATTCCCTCAGATTTTACCGATGGAAACATTCCGAGGGATAGAGGTTATCGGAAAATTCTGACGACAGGATTCGTCGGAATTTTCCGAGGACATCATGTCGTCGGAATTTTCCGACAAACAAGTTCCTCGGAAAATTCCGAGGACTCAATTTTCTCGGAAAATTCCGAGGAACCCCAGTTCCTCGGAATTTTCCAAAATTTATATTTTTTTTTAATTATAAATTATTGTTTTTAATTAAAATTCAAAAATATAAAATAAAATTGTAAACTGAAAATATATTAGATAATAGAGTAGTTCAAATAAAAAAAACATTCAGAGTTTTTGAAAAAAAAAAAACTACGGGAATTGCTCGTTCGGGTACATCCGCTTCATCATCTCCATCATGGCCTCGTTCTGCTTTCTCGATGCCTCCCATCCCTTCTCTTGTTCCTCCATCTTCGCCTCCAACGCAGCTATGCGGGCATCCTTGTCCTGCAGCTGCTCCATAACCATTGGATCAATAGGCGGTTGTGATGTAGGAGGAACCGATTTGGATCGACGACCCAAACTGATCAAACGTCCCTTCTTCGTTGGAACCGACTGAAAAAGAAAATAAACAAATTTTAGTAATAAAAATATTAGAAAATAAAAATAAAGAAATAAATGAATTGAATTTTTATGAAAACATCTTACCGATTCAACAATCTCGTTGATTCGTTCTCGGGACAGGGAGACCGAGCCTATCGAAGTGGAGTCGAGATCGGTTTGAAGCTGGGATAGACGGAGCTCTTCGTCGTCCTTGAGAGTGGTGATCATGTCAACCACCTCCCTGATAAGACCATCATCAATCTCCCCGGTATGCTTGTTGGTATGCGCCCGCTTCAACAATTTGAAAGAATCAACCGGCTCGCCATCATTTTCTTCCGCCTAGAAAAAATATAAGTTCAAAAAAACAATAGAAATCAGAGTAAATGCATACAAATAAAAATAAAAATAAAATAAAAATATTTAAATAATTGAAAAAAAAGATTCAAGTTACCATTTTATCTCCAGGAGTGGCAATACTCATGGCACCCATGTTGTGCTTGGCCACGCCCTTACCGCGACGATCGCTGTTGCGGTTGGTGGAGTTGGTGCTGGAGGTTGCTGCCGTCTCGCCTTTCTTCCAGTGCTCACACAAGTCCTTCCAAACCGTGTCGTTCATCGACTTCGGGACCTTTTAATAAATAAATAAAAAGTAGTTAAATAAATCTAAAAATAAATTAAAAAATTAAAAAACAATTTAATAAACCGATACCTTATTGACGCGCCACTTCTGCTTCCACTCATGGATCTGCTTCCCATAGTTATCCATAACTTTATGGATGAAGGCGTTGCGGATAAATGGCGTATGATCGGGATGCCAGGTAAACTCTTGCTGGAAAAAAACACAANTATAATATTAATATTAAAGATGAAAATATAACTTAAAAAGCAGAATACTTACCGCAAACTGACGAAACCACATCTCCTGTTCGGCGGGAGGGAAGTGTGTGAACGTCGGATATCCCTTCTTGAGGTCCGAGTACATCATCCGGTTGATCCATGAGCTGATCCCATTTCCGGATCGGTTGAACCTATCAAAAAGGATAAAGTTATTAATAATATAATAAATAAACACTTAAAGAAAAAAAAGACTCTTAATTACCATGTTTGGCCTCGTCCCGACGGATACTCGGTGAGATAGAGAAGATGCTCACGACCGGGCTGTTGAACCAACTGTTCAACAGTCATCACTCCCGGAACAACTGGAGGATCGGGAATGTCCTGCGTCGGCGAGGAATCCTGAGAGCCCCGAGAGCGGCTCCCCGAACCACTAGAACCTCGTGGTACGGAACGACGAACACGAGCCAGACTCTGATCTCCAGTAGACCTATCAATTAAAAAAAGTAAAAACAATTTTAATCACAAAAAATAGTTTTAAACACAAAAAAAAAATAGTTTTAATGATATTAAAATAGAAAATAGATTTTAATCACAAAAAAAGATTTTGAAATAGTTTATAAACACAACAAAAAAATAGGAAAATACTTATTTATTAAAAATTTGTTTTTAATCACAAAAAAGTTTCAGTAATATTAAAACAACCTTTTAATAAATAAGAAAAAGTGTTTTTTTATCACAAAAAAGTTTCAGTAATATTAAAAACCTTTTAATAAATAGGAAAACACTTTATTAATTAAAAAACCTTTTAATAAATAGGAAAAATACTTTCTTAATAAAAAAAAATTGTTTTTAATCTTAAAAAAAAAATTTCAGTAATATAAAAAACCTTTTAATAAATAGGAAAAATACTTTATTAATTTAAAAAATTGTTTTTAATCACAAAAAAAGTTTCAGGAATATAAAAAAGCCTTTTAATAAATAGGAAAAATACTTTATTAATTTAAAAAATTGTTTTAAATCACAAAAAACGTTTCAGTATTATAAAAAATGTTTTAATAAATAGGAAAAATACTTTATTAATTAAAAAAAATTGGAAAAATACTTTATAAAAAAACCTTTCAACAACAACAACATCACAATACACACAAACACCATCTAATTCCCCTATCTACCAATCACCCTAACAAAATCACTATCTAAAACATCTAAAATCCCTAAAACTAACTTCAAATCCTAAGCAAAACACCT